GAAAATTTATTTTAAGAACTTGTTTTGTCAACTTATCCTATTCATTCTATACTACACGTTTACCTAAGTGCATATATATGTAGATATTAGAATATATGAATATTTTGAATATATATATATATTTATTTAATTTTGTTTGTGAACGGATGATGTAAACAGAATCCATTGAAAATATGAATTATTTTTGCTTGCTTCAAAAGTCTAAGCAAAAGATTTTTTTAAATACACGCAAAAGGTCACAGTTCATATATTAATTGCTTTTTCAGAATTTATATCTGTATTTATTGTTTACATTAATAATTTATACTAAACGTACATGAGTTCATAGTTCATAAAAGGATATATATATATATATATATATATATATATATATATATATATACATGTTTGTATGTATTACATGTTGCTAATAATTTGTAGATAGCGATTCGACACGAGATTTTTGTTAGATAAATCTCAATTTAAACGTTTGAAAATATCCAACGTGTCAGTATATTTTAAGTATTTTGATAATCCGAAAGACGCATGTAGGCGCGTTATGCCAGCATATAAGGGGTCAGCTATACTGATGGTTATTTTGAGCCTACTTGCATCGTACCTTCTTTCGGTTAGAGTTGCCTTCTTACCAACACATACCAATCTGTATCTATGCGAATATATATGCATATCACAGTGAAAATTATTTGAATAGCCGTGACAAAATGCGATACGAAAGAAAAAATAATATGAATTTTTCTATAATTAAATTTGCAATAAATAATATTAATTTTATTATACTTTGCAATAACATGTACATTTTTTTTCTACCAAAAGCATTTTCATTCTTCCCATTTTCCTTTTCTTTGTTTCCATTGAAACAATTAATAAATCATTATAAATATTGATAATTACTTATGGCCGATACAATTAATATCTATCTGGCGGGAAAAAAATATTGTATATTACAAATCTGTAATTTTACGAGAGAATATTTGTAACTTTCTCAAGAGCAAAATCAATAGGGCCAATGACAAAGTCTTCATATTTGTGTGAATTATGGTTAATGAAAAAAGAATCATTAATTAATTAGTAATGTTTATCTTTATTATTTATTAATTTTGTAAAAATATAACATACAATATTTATTTTTCTTCTTAATTATTCAAATACTAAATAACTTCATAGTAATTTTAAATACTTTTGAACCTTTAGAAATGAGTCACTAAAGTGATTTAAAATAATGTTATAATAAGATTAGTGTTAATCAAACTCATGGATATGTAAATGAGATTATTTTTTGCTGTTATAATAATGAAGGAAAAAAACAAGCTGAAGAACGAAAGAGAGAAAGAGAGAGAGAGAGAGAGAGAGAGAGAGAGAGAGAGAGAAATAGACTTCATAATTGAAAGTCAATGATTTATCAACCACCATAAATTTACTAGGAATTGAAGTTAGGTGCTTGTCTATTTACCCTCCCTTCCTCCTTTTTCTTTCCCTCTTACTTTTCATCTCACTGTGAAAAGATAAGGAACTAATCGATCAATCGAAAAAAGGTTTCGAGATCAGTTATATGCAAAACGAATAGTAGACAGCACGTCTGCAGAATGGCCTCAAAAAACCGGTTTTATCTAATGATGGACTACCTACTCTGCAACTGAGACTTTCATATTTTAAAATAATTTTTTTCTTTTCGATAAATATAACAAAATTTTAGGATATTTTTTGTTGTTGATTTTACGCAATAAATTTGACAGAAATTAACAATGAAATAGATTTGCAATAAAATTTTGATTAATAATTTGGTTGTTTATAATTTTGCTTCGTCGCATATCATGACTTTATTATTTATATATATATATATATATATATATATATATTATATTTATCATTTCTTCCCATCAATAATTCTAAGTTTTTGTAATTAACGATGCAAGACGTAATACATTCTAGTTGTAATACATTTTTGATTAAACGTAATTAATATATTTGATATAACATATTAGAAAAATTTTGCTTTCAATTTTAAAATATTAAGATCGAATTTCGTAGAGATAGATAAAAAAATATATTGTAATTTTAGCATAGTATTATATGATTCATGTGCTTTTAAAGCTACAGCAAAATAAACACGATTAATAAAATTCTGTTTGCTAAGAAAATGCATAACATAGCCACTTAATTTAAAAAGTAGTACTTTCTTCTGATTAGTATAATCAATGAATAACGAAATATAGCAAATTTTCATACTTTTAACATTAATGAAAACATATTTACGGAAATATTAATCAATGGAAAAGAAATTCCGAATATGACAGAATTGTGAGTTAAAAATTTTTATTCCATCACAATGAACATAATTTTTGTTCATTTTACACGAGTTTCAATTATTTACTTTTTCAATTAATTATTTAACGAATTAATTAATTAATTAACAAATTAATTGATTATTTAACCATTAATTGAATCAATAATTTTAATAATTCACGTTTTCATTTTTGTGAAATTAATATCTCTTCGTTGTATCTTTATTGTTATTTAAAAATAAATTAAAAGGATTAAAAGGAAAAAATTAATTCCGCAAATTAATAATAGAATTAGTATAAATGAGGATATCAAGATAAGTTGCATTCACTTAGAATTCTTAATTAAAGTAAGAATTTTGTCAGTTGACTGTAATCTCCTTTAGTATAGCAACAATAGATTATAATTATTTTTAATGTATAAAACTAAGCTTTCAACATTAATTGATTATAATTGTCATTAGTAAGGAAAAGAATTAATATAAGTATAAAAAAGTATAATAAAAATGTTAACCTCGCAAGTATTATAATTTTCTAATTATAATAATAGCATACTTTGCAATTTTCTAGAGCTGTTAATCAATGCATTGTTGACTGATTGACCAATCGTTAGTAGTTTTCCAGCTGAAACATAAGGTAGCATATTATCCATTACAGATTTCTACTGATACTTCAGTTATCTCTTAAGAAAACACTTACCAATGTTAGGAATATTATCCAAGGATAAAATTAACATAATTTTAATTAAATATCTAATATTCAATTAAATATCTGTAATATATACATTCAAATAGGATTAAGGATTAATGATAAATTTTATCGAGTGTTATGTTAAATGTATAAAATGATCGAGTAAATGAACGTAAATGAGGTTATGTTCGTCGGTAAATAAGGAATTTATTTTATCGACCGTACTAACAACTCGGACAAAAGTTTCAAGAATATTACTCTAGGATCGTCGATGTAAAAGCAACACTTTGGCGTCTTGAATACTTGAATGTTCTTCGGAGGGTGATTCCTACCCTTGTTTTCCTTCCGAGACGAGATCCCGAAGAGGGTGAAAGAAGAACCCGAGAGGCCACGTTGAAGATATGGGGCAGTCGTGCGTGAAAACGAGTTCATTGGTTATGTATTTCACGGGGCATCGGGGCGTTAAAGTGTTGAAATTTCATTAAGGGTCTAATGAAGCGCGCCGCGTAAGGTCTCTCTCACGTGGAATGTTTGTTCGAAGGGTGGATGGCCCTTAGAGACGCGTAAGCGAATTTACATGCTTCAGGGCGGTTCTTCTATACTCCGTCGCACAGAAGAACGGAACAGTACTCAAGCTTTTCAGCTAAAATGCCTTTTCCTATGTCCATGAGACTCCATTCAGTCCTTTCACCGAGTCTTCATCATTAGCATTTCCTCTAAATAACGATCTAAGATCCGAAACCTTCCGACATATAAACGGTCTGCCTTAGACCACTAAACTAAGCGACTGCGCTTTTCAATCTGACCATTTTATACCTACCGGATATATATATATATATATATATATATATATATATATACATATATATGTGTGTGTGTGTGTGTGTATAAGTGTATGTACAGCATACGTAAGTGCGTACATTCTTTTTTAAATATACTAAGAGGTTCTGCACGATTTATATATCAAGTTTAGCATTTAATATTACATGTTCATCTTTAACAAAGCGTTATAAATAAGGATAAGGTTTGATGATAGAAAAATTGCCCTATTAATTTACGACATATACTTTCAATATCATTGTATTAAATGTACGAAGATTTTAATAACTTTAATCGAATGTCTAATAAAAATTGATTATTAAATTTTCAAAAATATATAATACGAAATCTTACCTTTGTCCTTGGTCTTAGATTGAAATAAATGGATTTCGATTGAGGGTGGTTGATCAATGAGTATAAACGCTGGAGTTATGTATTTTTTTTTATTAAGTTTATTTTATATATCGACAACAACACGTCATACATTAGAAAACAGAAGGTTTCTTGAAGCAAACTCGAATGAAAAGTTTTGTGGAACAATCCGAGAGACACTATGTGAGTGTGCCGCGCCATCATCTATGGAGTCGTATATATATAATATTGCGTGTCCCTGTGTGTCAGTAGTATTGTTTTAATCGCGTGGATGTATCCTGCGTGTTATATCCTTCGTGTAAGTCCGCGCGTGTGATGTGTATGTAAACGTGTATGGGATTCGTGTCTCTGTGTACTACGATACTCTTGTATCTCCTCTCTCGTCTCTTTCTCGCTCTCTCTCTCTCTCTCTCACTCTCTCGTTCTCTCTTGCTCGCTCGCTCGCTCTGTTTCTCTCTCTCTCTCTCTCTCTCTCTTTCTCTCTCTCTCGCTCTCTCTCTTTCATTATCATTTGCTCTCTCACTCACGCCTTCGCTACTATCTCACCTTTCATCCTTTCTCTCCCTCTCTTTCTTGCCCTTTCTCACGTGCCCATTGCACTCCCTTCTACCGATGTATCGACGCTTCGTTGGTGTTTCGACGAGGTGGCCTTTCCTTCATGAATATCCACGTGATCGAACAGACTCGCGATTTATTATAAACAAACCGAATAAAAATTGATTACGTACACACGCACGCACGCACACACACACACACACACACACACACACACACACACACGCGTACGCGCGCACACACGCACATATACACACTTAATTATAGGAAATCGTTTCGTTTTTAAAGGGGGGTTTATTATTTTTCGTTGAAATTTACGTTAAGCTATTAAAACGATCAATTTTGATAATAATTAGCTCTAATCTCATTTTTAGAATAACAAAAAAAAAAAGAAAAAAAAAAATATGTAAATTATTTCTACTCGAGGAGGCCACTCCATCGATTCACCCTGATTGCGTTACGGAATTTCGCACGATATCCGTCTGCCATTTTTGGTGCTTCTATCTATCTATCTATTTATTTATTTATTTATTTATTTATTTATTTATTTAGTTATTTATTTATTTATATATATATAATATAATATTTTTATATTTATATATATTATTTTGTTTCTTTGCTTCAAAAAGCGGCAGTGCATCGTCGCCGAATTCACCCTAGGTCATCGAGAAGGGAGAGCCTTCGTGTTGTCTCTTTCTTTCTCTCTCTCTCTCTCTCTCTCTTTCTCTCACTCTCGCTCTCTCGCTCTCATCACATCTCTCATTTTCTCTCATTCACGCATACACACGCATTCATGCATAGATTTGTTCTACTATCTCTCATTCTCTCTCTCTCTCTTTCTCTCTTTGACGAGACAGTTGAAACTTCATACTTATTCCGTCTTTGTTCTCTTTTTGTGTTTTGTTTTTTCCCTTTATCTTCTTCTTTCTTTTCATTTAAATTTATTTGCTCTCGCGGTTGTGACACGTTGTTAGGAACGTCGGGGTACGATTAACGGCTCGCACGACTAACTGAGAAAACGAATTTTGATTCCTTGGCCGAAAAGCTTGCTTAGCCCATCCACGAGGGGCAATAATAATAATTCTTCTGGGCCGAAAGATCAATGGAGAAAGCTAGCCACGCGCCCAAGCGTCAGCGAGGCAACCCACCGCTCCTCCTCTTGCAATAATTTATGTACAATTTTACAACCTACGACGCCGCCGACGATATAATTTTATTATTATTTTTTTTTTTTTTTTTTCTTATACTTCACCTTTAAGTACACGAATAGGACCTAGACATCGTTAATTTTTTTTATTTCATCATCATCTTTACACTATACTAACGAAATCTAAACGTTCAATTTTCATTTTCACCACACTAGGAATAATAAATTTTGCCGTATCGTTAGTATACCTTTATAGAAATATGCTTACAAAAATAGAATTTAGCGAGGCGCCGAGAGTGCGTCGCTGCCGGGTGCGGGCAAGCTTACCATGAGATTTTCATATCCATCTTTTCTCGGATATGGAATTAGTGTACGCCGAAAAAGTGGCCAGTTAGCCGTCGCCTTCTACATTTTTTTTGTATCATCTTATTCCTCGGCCGATCCATGCCGAACGTCGCCGAGGATTGAGTTTTCGCGAGACTGAAAATTTTTTTTATCATTTGTGCGCATTTCTCCTATTCTTGTTTCTCTAGTCGCGCGGGCCGTCGAGCGTTTTGTTCCCGTGCGAGTAATTCAGCGTGTGAATTTTCTCCCTTGCTAGTTTTCTCATTCTTTCGTTCTCTAATATTTTTTTTCTCTCACTCTCTATCTCATTCACTCTCTCACTCTATCATTTCTGCTCACAAACATGCTTGTACATATCACACGTATCACACACACTCATTCAATCACCCTCTCTATTTCTCTTTCTCTCTCTCTCTCTCTCTCTCTCTTTCCCTCTCTTTCTCTCTCTCTTTCTCTCTCTCTCTCTCTCTCTCTCTCTCTCTCAATATCTCAATTTCTCCCTTTTTCTCTCACTGTCGTACTCGTCAATCATTTTCCCCATTTTTAAGCGCTCGAGTCGATCTTCTCTTCCCTTTTTTTTTTTCTTTTTGTATAGTTTGCCAAGAACGTATATATGTGTCTCGAAATTGTGAACAACTCATACCTTTTTTCTCGCTGTCATGTACAATACACGTATAATAATAATAATTATTATTATTTTTTTATCGGTGATCGCCGCTATAATCACGAACGTCTTTACGAACGGAATCATATGTAAACGTTCAGATAGAACAAAGGGTGAGACCAAAGAGCGTAAAATCGTTTAAAAACGCGTGGCGGCATTAACGAAATGTGGCGAGTGATTGACAATCGTTTCTTTCTTCTCTTTTTTTTTTTTTCTCTTTTAAATCGCAATACAATAATCGTTAATCATACTGATAATCGTTATAAAGGTGTAATTTGTCATTATCTTCTTTTTCTTTTTTTTTTTTTTTGTTTTCGTATGCACAATAACCTTTTTTTTGTCCTCTCTCTTTTTTTCATTCATGTGCACTCTCACGCGCGCTCCTAAACTTCAAATTAACATCATCATTTAGACTCGTCATTACAATATTACATTATTAGATTACATTATATCATAATACGCTAGCGTTTATTCAATAAATTTTACATACTTTGATACGCAGTATGATGGTTTTCAAAAACGGTCATCGGCCAACCAAATTTTGTTCACACATCAATACACCTACGCTCAGTAGTCGAAGTAATTTGTACTTGTAGCCATATATTATAAATATTTTTAGTAGTTTCGGCCCCTCTCTTTCGCTCTTTCTCTCTCTCTTTTTCTCTCTCTCTCTCTCGATCACTCTCTCTCGCTCTCTCTCTCTCTCTCTCTTTCTCTCTCTCTCTCTCGCTCGCTCGTTTATTCGCTCTTTCTCTCAATTATCATTTCACAACGCTTTCATATCGTTCCACTCATTTTCGTACACCAGTATATCGAGGCCCTACACAATTTTTTTTCTTGTTTCGATACGAATATTTAAATATTATTTTACCACAACTTTCCCCTTTTATTTCCTCTTCTCTCTTTCTCCTCCTCTTTCTTTCTCTCTCTCTCTCTCTCTCTCTCTCTCTCTCTCTCACACACACACACACACACAAACACGTACAGACGTTCACATACACTCAATCTCTCTATGTTTCATTTTTCAAGTTCGTCTACGCACTCTATTTTCTTCCCTTTCACAAGTCGATCATTTTTATTATGTTCTTTGAATTTATCTTTTGTGCACTTCTCTTTTTATTTCGCATCCGTTCGAAATCTTAGTTAACAATAGACATCAGCGAAGTATTTTCGCTTAATTTAATGCACGCCCCTTTCGTCAGCATTCCCCAAATCGTCATGTATTATTTTGTTGCGCTTATATATCTTAACTTTATCAAGAGATATCATTGCCAAAAATATATAAAAAGCCCCAGAAACGTGATTTCGAAATCGAAACAAATGTGCTCTAATCGAAAGTGAGCACGGGCGTTAGATCTCCTTGGAATACGAAATAACTATTTCGTTTCCATTATTTCTTTCTCTTTCTCTTTTTTCCTTGTTTTTCTTTATTTATTTTTTGTTCTTTTTCTTTTTTTTTTTTTGGTCTTCTTTCTCGTTTCTTCATTTTTGTTCGAAAAATGTCGCGAAATATTATTATCCTTTCTATTCTCGTGCGAGAAAGAAAAAGGAAAAATACGTTGTCGTATGGGCAAACGGAGAGAAACGTTTACAATTACTGTCGGTACGACGTCGTCAAAACGAAGTTCGACGATTAATTGATCGATACAACGTCGACAATTCGTAATCTTTACGTTCCTTTCCGTTCGAATTTTCGCACGAAACTTTGAGTATCTTCATCGAGATCGTGGCACAGTCACCGAGCGACCAAATCACTTCCAAAAATTTACAATAAATGTTTCTTCGGCTTCTCATTTCATTTATTCTTGTTCTCTCTCTCTCTCTCTCTCTCTCTCTCTCTCTCTCTTTCGATCATTCATTCACGCTTATCCTTAGAACTTTCTTTCTTTCTTTCTCATACATCTTCACATTCGACTAATAACACAGTCATTACCTATAATAGCTTCTTCGTTTCTTTATTTTCTTTCTTTTCTTTCTTTCTCTCTCTCTCTCTCTCTCTCTCTCGCTCTCTCTCTCTCTTTGACCTTCTATCTTTTTTTTTTTTTTACAATAATGTCTAAAAACCACGAGAGGATAGGTAAAATTTTAATCATTTTTTTTTCCTTTATACACCTAAAGTTACTTGCACCCGTTTCGGACGGGGCCGCCGGTGACCAAGCCGCCATCGCGATGTTGGATCATAACGACCCTTCTCTACGTTTTCCCTTCTCCTTTCTCTGTCATATCTGTCTTTCGCTTTACTTTTTTTTTATCTTTTTCTCTCATCGTTTCCCGCTTTCTATCATTCTATTACTTCTCACTCATACGTTCGCTCATTATCATTCTACACTCTGTTTCATTCGTTCCATTCTCTCTTTCTGTCCCATTCTCTCTCTCTCTCTCTCTCTCTCTCTCTCTCTCTCTCTATCTATCTTTCATTTTCTCATGCATCCATATCTTACTCGCTCTTACACATTCCCTTTCTTCCTATATTTGTTTCACATCTCGCTCGAATCTCTCGCTCTCTTTCTCATGTCTCTGTTTCGAATTAATATTATTATCAAGATTCCTCGCTACAAATTCTGTCACCCCTTGATTCCATTTCTTTTTCCCTGTCTATTTCGTTTTTGCTGCATCGAACGTTTCTTTTTTGGTTTGTCGAAATGCAACCGCGACCTTTATAAAAATGTACACCTACTACGCTTAATAATTGTCTTCGAGTAAATTTTTCTTCCACAATGTTTTTCTTTTTTCTTCTTTTTCTTTTTTTCTTTTTTTTCATTCCTCTCTCTTTATCCTCTCCTAATCTTCGCCTTTCTTTAAAGATACAATAACATACTATACGTATATGGCTCTACAGATGTTCGCTTGCACTGCAACTCAAACGTGTGTCATGAATAGCCTCTCGGTCCGTCGATCTTTGCTTTAACGCGATCTATCGATCGTCTTCGATATTGTTCCCATTCATATATCTCAAATGTTTGTTCCAAGCCATGATCACGTTATCAAAATGTTTATTAATCTATTCCTAGGAGCCAATGTCGAGACGATCGTTGTATCGCGTTGAACTCCGACCAACGAAGCCGCGAGCACGGATTTAGTATTTTTTTTTTTTTTTTTTTTATTATCATTATTATTAATTTTTTTTTATTTTGAAAATTAGGACCTTCCCGCTCGACTCGAGTCGCAGGGGAACTCGAGTGCATCGGGAATTCTTGTTTAGAAACTCCTACCCGCGTTATGCTTCTGTCGGGGTACCCGCAGGCAACACACCCTGGGTTCTTTTCGTGCGCCGCCATCTTTCCTTCCTTCATTCTTATCTTTCTTTTTTTTTGTTCTTTCTCTTTTTCTTTACATCTCGACCGTCTTGACAAACAATACCGTCTCGACGACGACGACTTATCCTTTATCTTTCTCCCTCCCTATCTTTCTCTCTCTCTCTCTCTCTCTCTCTCTCTTTCTTTCTCTCTCCCTCTTTCTCCCTCTCTCTCTCTCTCTCTCTCTCTCTCTCTCTCTATCTTCGCCCTATTTTTTTTGAGGTTTTTCGTTGGAAGTTTTCGATAAGGTTCGGCGGAGATAACGGCCTAATGTAAAAATCAGGATGTTAATTTAGCACGGTGTGTAAAAAACGTTCTCACGGGTTGCGTCGCGAATTCGAATGCCAATTATTAGCGTCCGTTCAGCTATATCTTTCATTTTAATTTCTATCTATCTGTCTCTCTCGCTCTTTCACACCCCCTCGGTCTCCTCGTCGACGGTTAATATCGAGTTTAGTACCCGTCAATCGTTTGGATCCAATTCGAGAGTCGAATCGATTCGTCACATTATTTTTTCTCACCGCCCACTCCCTATCCCACCCGTTCACGTCGTTTCTCTTCTTTTTGATTTTTCCGTGATCGACAGATCGCACGAATCGACCTCTCGAATTGTCCAAACGGTCTTCGCGGTACCTTGGTGTTGCTAGCGGGCAGCCCTAAGTCTCATTGACCGTTGGCGTGTACGTGTGTGTTTGTTTGTTTCTTTTTTTTATTCCAACCCCCTTGTGTCTCGGTTCGATGGTACCAGGTGGGTCGCATTACTGTATACAAATATCATTAGGTTTTACATTATAATATAGGATCCTCTTTTTTTTTCAATACCTCTCTATCGCTCGCGCTCTTTCTCTCTCTCTTTCTCTCTCTCTCTCGCGCAATCTCTTCGTTAAAAGTTATGTGGCATTTATATACGCATTGTTTCGTGGGAAATGAGAACCAGTCTTATGGCGCCTGTCTGTTAAAGCTCAGGCATATTCTGTAACGTAAAAATATATACATTCATCTGTGTGGTATGTATAGTGCTGCTCTGTAAACTCAAGATTTTACATCAAGTTAAATGCAATCTCCATTTAGAGTCCTCTGTACAAAAACGTTTAGCTACGCTGAGGCAGATATTATTCTCACGCCCCGATCTCGTTGAGTCCGTGCCGGCGACTCACGCGCCCCGCTAACCGATTCGCTTGAGGATCTTGCACCAACGAGGAGGAGCTCGTTTAGCGGAGGAGGAGGAGGAGGAGGACGGGATATATATAATCGCGTCCTCCTCTGCGGAATCCCTGCGGATCGTCCTCGTCGTGCTTCCTCAAGCGATCTCGATGGTAAAGTAAAGAGGGCGTGTGCCGACTACTGGCCTCGCGGGGCTATTTAAGAACGAAGCGGACCCGCGGGTAGGTCGGTGGTTATCATTACGTGTATGTTTTATTTTATTTTATGTTTTTTTTTTGTATTATTATTTCTTCACAAACTGCACGGCAACTAGTGTTCTGTTATTCATGGTTTACCTTTTTTGTTTTTTGTTTTACTTTTCCTGTTTTACATCTGTCTATTACAGCTGGTACCTGTTTAGTGTGCGTGCGCGTATGTTGCTGTGCGTGTACGTGTACGTGTGTGTCTCCCTCTTTCTTTCTCTCTCTCCCTCTCTCTCTCTCTCTCTTTCTCTCTCTCTCTCTCTCTCTCTCTCTCTCTCTCTCTCACTCTTTCTCCCTCTTTGTAAGTATATCTCTCCTCGGTGTCTGCGCGCGTTTGTAGACTATGTATGTGTGCGAGTATGTATTATGTAGGTATGTATGTGTGTGTGTCGATCAAAATGGTCATGTGAGGATGGCGTAATCCGTGTGATGTCCTATCTGTGTGTGACCAAACGTCTCCCATACCTTATCGTCGTCGTATTATCTTTAAATATCATTAGTATACTATATATAATATTATATCGAAAATAACGGATAATACAACACGTAGGGAATCGAGGGTTGCGGGTAGATAAAGAGAGGGCTAGGACGGGACGATGGTGATGGCGGTGATGGTAGTGGTTCGTGACGGTGGTGGCTGCGATAGTGGTGGTGACTAGTCTTTCGTGGGTGGAATTCGTGGGTTAGATTGGATATTTTGGGACGTAGCTGCTAATGATAGCCGGTTCGTGGAGGGTGGGTAAAGGTGGGTTCGAGGGCTAATCTCGCGCGTTCGTACTCGCGATCGGTCGTCACGCGAGGATCTCCTTCTCCTTTTTTAAGGGAAAAGATTCTCCCCGAGGTACTGATCGCGAGTGCCGAGACGGCGATCGTGAGCGGCGGAGTTAAAAGTTACATGGTCTCCCCACACATGTGCATACAATCGTAATACGATACGAAGTCTTCTGTTTCTTGAATTCTTTTCCTTTCGTTTGTTATTATTTTTTTTCTTTTAATTTTTTTGGTTTGGTTGCTTCGTCCTTCGTAAAAGCTGTTTACGGAAAAACACTAATCGTTATTATTTTTACTCAGCGGGAATTAACGTTTATATTTTTTTTTTTCTGTTTTACTGCGTCTCTCATTTATACCGAAGGGAGTTTTATCGTTCCGTGGATTTGATCAGTGATCGGGAGTTCTTTTTTTCTTTTCTTTTTTTTTTTTGGATCGGATATTGGTAGTAGTGGTGGTAGATCGGATAAGTCGGAAGGGATAGAAGGACGATTCTCGCGGCACTCGCGATTCGGTTAATCCACCGGATTAGGTATCTGATAAGGAAGAAGGAAGGACTATGGAATAGGAACGGAGGAGAAGATGGACTAAACGGTTCGGGCTTAAAATCGGGCATTGGGTTATTTTTAATCGCTTGCTTATTAGAACTGGATTGGCTGATACAACTGGTAGAATACAAGTTATTTTTTTTTCATTCGTTTTACATACGGCTATTACTTCGATATACGGTAGGTAGTTAGTATGTAGTTGTCGACACACAATTCAATGATTACTGGGCGTTTACTGTTTATACTGCTTTACTGTTTGTTAATTGTTAATAATTAAGTAAGTTTAATTGTAGTGTTAGTTAGTTAGCTCTTACGTAGCTCTTGTCATTCATAGTTAATGCGGTTAATTCTACGCTTGTAGTTTTGGGGGCATAGTTTTAGGGAATGTTTTCGGGGGGAAGGGCTGTTAGTTTCAAGGGTTACGGGTGTTATGGGGGTTTATCGATGTTACGTGTGCTGTGTGTGAGGCACCGTCGAGTTAGGATCGATCACTGCAAAACTCTAGTGGATCTCTTAGAGGCACACCGAGCTCGCTGCACGATCGTAACAAGATCGGGCATTTTCGATGGGGAGTGGGAGAGACCATAGTACACATATATATTATTGTAAGTATACTTATCGCATAGTAATTGCATTTAATCAATATACGTGTGTGTTATCGGTGCATAGCAGCGTTCCGAACTCCTTGCGATAACCAAAACTTCTTTCATGCTGGGATGGTGGGTTTGGAGAATGTATGTGTATGTGCGTGTGCGTGCATATGTAATGTGTTCGATGTCTTATTTTAAGCACTTTTATTCTCTTTATCTTTCTATTTCTCTCTCTCTCTCTCTCTCTTTCTCTCTCTCTCTCTCTTCTTTCTCGATAGACTCTTTGCTTTGCGGAGAAGCCGACACTTCGAGGGAAACGTCGCGTGTACTCGGTAGGCCTCGAGCGAGGTACGAGCTTGAATATTTCATATGTCAAGTTGCGGATATTCCGCGGAAATCACCGAGTTGGTATAGGTCGTGCTGCTGCTCTCCGAGGGTAGCCCATTAAGAGCTCCTGTGACGCGAGGATGAAAACGCTCGAGGGATTACCTGTAACCTCTCTCTTGGTACCCTAAGATAAGGGTACAGGCATTACGTTACTATTTGCACTTTCGTCTCCTCGATTTTCTTACAAATTATATACTCGAATTGTCTTTTCAATTTTTCAATGATTATAAGAAATTAAGAATTTTTATGAGTACTCTTAAGGTTATCACGAAATGTAAGCTATACCAAAAAGCAGAGTCAATTGAGTCCAGAGAGTGACAGTTGTGTAGGTGTACTTGTGTGCGTGTGCCTGCTTTTGTACCTGTGTGCTTTTGCGTGTTACCGGTCGAGGATGAAAAAAATGGGCAGCGGGCGAGCACCAGTCAGGCTTTGGGTGGGCGTTCGGTCTATGTCGGGCCCCTTTGTATAATTTTAGTATTTTTTTCGTATAAAATCAACACTGAAGGCACATTCTATCGGACGAGTCGGCCCAGTGTGTGCTGTGAGTGAGAGTGGGCGCGGGACCCGAATCCACGCAGATTGCGTGGCCGCGGCTAACCTGGCGACGTTCTTTTTTTGCGGGCCCACGAGGGACTTATGCACCCCCGGCGCTAACAGGCTACCGCAACTAATAAAGTTATTTAGATATCCTCTGAGGTCCCTGGCCTTTTAACAGCCTGGATGTGGATAGGTAAGAGGAAAAGGATCGAGGTTTTGGGAGAAGGAAATATCAGGGTTCAAGGATTTAGGATATGAAAGGACGAAGGGTGGTCAAGGATAATCCTTTTTCTTCCTTTTCTTAAGCGGAGTTATCTAATGGCAGCCGCGGCCGGGCCCCGCGCGAGAAACTGTTGATTCGTGTGGCGGTTATTTTGATCCGGTTGCCTTCCTCTATTGCATCGGGTTTTGGGGGTCTGTCATTTTTTCGCTTTTAGTCGAAATGGCTATTTCAAAATTGAGAGCCGGCCCGACGCTCGCCTGACTTTGCCCAGGTCGAACTAAACTATCATTTTGCTGGGATCAGGTTCAGGGTTTAGGATGGCTTTTGGATATTAACGTACGTACTAGACGGTCAGGATCCAACAAATTCGATCGGACATGGTTGTTCTGGAATTTGGTTAAATTAAAACCGGTTAAATCGGAATATATGATCTGTTAGATCTTTGGTCTCTGTTTAATATGGAAAAATCGAGAGATTGTCGAGTGATGTTCAACGAAATCCGGTTGTGACTTTGATTAACGATGATGATAATAATAAAGGCCAAGATCGCATGTTGTACGGACCAAAAGCGAACCAGTCTTTTTTTTTTATTTTGTACTATTTGTAATTCGCCGGAGTATCAACGACGATCACGATACTGTACGATTATTTGTATAACATCATCGTAATGACATGGCCAGAACAGAAGTTTCGTCGACGTTGTTTGAGGAAACATAAATCCGGTTGAAATGATGGGAAGGCTGTACGAGTGCACTGCGCGGCATCTCGTTGTCTGCATCATTTACACGTTAAATTGTGATGGTTTGCGGTTGTCGCGATCTTTTGTAATAGATCATAAAGATTGGCCATTCTTGTACGTACATTAAATCCAGGACAAAAACGCGAAGAACCTGCGTGTAAAGGTGCGTCTGTGTGCATGTGTAAAATGCGTGTTTCAATGTATCATGTTTTATTTCTTCTTCTTCTTGATATTTGAAGAATTTCGTCGGAGAGGGAAACATTGCTTATGGTTGTGGAAGGAAGCGAAGCTCGTACGATCGTTCCATCGACTCCTCGATCATTTCAATGTTCAACATTAAATATTAACAAATATCGAATTGAATTTTATTGTTGTGTAATTAGCAATATATTTTACCTATTTTTAAATCGCCAATTGTTGTTTTTCTACAATAAAAATTATAACACAGAATCTCCGACGAGTTGATCACGTTCGTACGAGCGTTCCACTAAATATGCGTGGCTCTTAAAGGTCGTCCCTAATTAATTCATTAATACTGCTTTCCCCTACTGTCCGTGTTACCCTCTGATAACGGCGAAGTCTGTACAATAGCCATCCGGCGATGAACCATTTTGTTTTAACGCGGACATCACCGAATAGTAATCAGAGCCGTGACAGTGCCGCTTCCACCTCACGAAATTAAATGGAAAAATAGAAAATAAAGAAAAACAGAACGGTAAACAATCGTTTTCTTTTTTTAACTTACGATGGACCAGCCTCGTTTCTCTTCTCGTTTCCATAACTTGGATAACGAGTCAACAGCAGTAAAGTCAAAGTATGTAACCGATAAAACAAAAACAATTTTACTCTTTTCGTACAGATCTCGAGAATCACCGTGTTCCGGCCACTCGAATAGGGAGGAAGGAGTGGCACTGAACGCGATTCCATTAAAAAGATTGACTAGCGATAAAACGTATCGTTAATACGGAAAAACAGAGTATCGTCCGATTCTCTCTCATTGAGATCACGAACGTTTTGCAGAATGTACAAAGATACAACATGCGAGATCTAGGATATCGAACGATCGAATCCTCGATCTGCGCGATGATGTTCTTGATATATAAAACTTAAACTCAACAATTAGAGAGGCGAATTTACAGGCGGAGACGTCGATCGAGAAGAATAATGTTTGATCCCGTATCAAACGGGATTATTTATTTCTCTTAAAATAATCGGATATACTCTATTATGATAAACAATAGATCGGCTCGATTGATCTTTTTGTCCTTTTATTTTTTCTTTTTTCTTTCTTCTTCTTGATTAATTCTTATCGATGGACGTCACGCGACACGTATGCCTAAAAAACAGAGGCAGAGGGGTTTGGAGGAATTTCTTCACACAGAATTTTCTTTTTCTAGGCCTCGCTTCTCTTTTTTCTTTTTTCCATACTTTTTATTATCTTTACCTTTTAATCTCGATCGTGCTTTTGCTTCCTCTAAGTATTATTATCGATCATTCACGCGCGAAGGTTGTCGCGTTATCAATCGTGTTTTTGTCTTTTTTTAATTGTTCTTTTTGAATCGTTAATTAATTAGTGATCCTTTCGAAAGTTCATTGATTGATTTTGATATCTGATGATAATATCGTGATCGTATTAACGTTAAGTCCAAATATTTCTTTAAATTAATTAACGAGCTTTGACATATGCTCGGCAGGTATTCGTACAAGCTTGTCTCGGAAGATGAGTAACGAAAGAAAGCTACATTGAGCTTTCTGATAGCTATAAGTATTCACATCAACGTAAAACCGGTTGTCTGCGAACATTTTAATTGTCGCGCGTAGCTCGCGCGAGTACGGAGAAAATTTCGAACGGAAAATGCAGTTCGAGGGGAAGATTGTGTCTCGTAAAAATATGCTCGTAGTACGAATTTACTGCTCGTGCATACGCATAACAGGTTATTCAAAAACCACGAAAACAAAAAGAAGAACAATCCTTCGCGCGATACTTTCGAGGTAGCTTCAGCTTCGCTCGTTTCTTTTTCTTTTCCTTAAAAAAAAAAAAAAAAAAAAAAAAAAAAAAAAAAGAAGAAAAAAAAAACGAAGGGTTTTGTTTCTCAGTGCTTATTCTTGTTTTCGTCGATCATATTATTAATGAATTTCGCGGATTTTTTTTTCTTTTTTTCACGTTTTTTTTTTTTTTTCTTTTCTTTTTATCACGAGGGTTAATTTGACCAATCGCGGTAGCGTACCAATCGATGTTCGACGATCGTTTAGAAATGATGTCTCGTGAATAATTTGGGGCGCTGTTTTTGGGGTAGGTGGGATCGAAATTCCGTGGCTTGGAGGAGAATGGAGGAGGAAATTGTATAGGGGGTGGGATTCATTCGATCGATGATCGAAAGGGTGTAGCATAGAGTTCCAAACGCTCCGTGATCTACAGACATTCAATATTAAACAGATCAATCAACTATGTCGTCGTTATAATACCACTAGGATAGCTCATAATCGTAAGTTTATATCAATAATATAATTATATTATTAGGTATCATTAATGCTTGTGTTGTATGTATATTCTCCGTGTACTTTTTTGTGTGTGTAATAAGTGTTATTCTCTTTCTCTCTCTTTTTTTTTCACATCTCGCGTATCCTTTCGCGCTCTCACGTTGTGTATACTCGTGTACGTACATACGTGTTCCTTTTTTCCCTATGTATCATTTTCATCATTATTACACTTAAGTTTCAAGTTACAAGCTAGCGTATAAATGATGGGTAAGAAACGACCACTCGGACGCGCGACAGTTCTTCTATCGATTCTTATCCTGGAAAAAAGCGTCTCCTATTGGACACTTCGTTCTCGCTCGCAGGAGAAACGAAGGAACTCTGTTTTCAGGACGATCGCGACGTCGCGGTCTGATCCTCGACGTCTCTTTTTTTTATTTTATTTATTTATTCTTTCTTTCTCTTCCTCTCTCTCTCTCTCTCTCTCTCTCTCTCTCTCTCTCTCTCTCTCTCTGTCTGTCTCTCTTACTCTCTTTCTCTCTTATCATTTCTTCTCTTATAATATCGTCGTCGGAGAATCGATCAGGAAGAACCGTCCGGTCACGGTGGGTGGTTTGTTAGCCGCCATGTACCGGGTTGTTTCGTACCGTTTATACTATATATCATTAATCATATTATCGTTAAGTATCATTAGTCATTAGTTACTTTTAATTAATCGTTAGGTATAATTCAATTAATCAAATACTCTTAACCCTTCTTTATCGTTTAATAATTATTGTTTAGGTAGTTTATAGTTTCATTAGGTTTCAATAACGCGTTTTTTTTTTTTTTTTTTACGGATCTTGGAAGCAAAACCTTTTTCCACGTGGAAAGGATTATGGGTGTTGAGGAGAAGGAGGAGT